GTCTAGAGACATCAGTGAAGGTGTGATATGATCTTTCTTGGACTAGAGGAAGACAATGCGAGCTGCTGAGGTCTGTAGTTTTTTTTAAGTTTCTGAAGATCCGTTGAACTGATGCCAAAGTGGACACTGTTAGAATGTGTATGGAAGGAGGTCACAGGACAAGTAGTATTCAACATTAAGTAAAGATTAAAATTGTGAATAATATGTACATTTAGATGAAATGTCAAGTGAGGAACGCCAATATTGAAGGAAGCAGTCATAAAATCGCTGCTTGAAGATGGATATAATGTTTTAATGCAGCCAATTTCTTGTGAGATCCATACAAACCCAAAACCATACTGAAAAAGGATTTGTCTTATGTGTGAAGCCCAGGTAGATTTATTGAGATTTGAGCATTTGGTAGGCCTGATAAGGAAGTCTATGGTGTTGTAGCTGCAACAGTCTGCACCAGTACATTATTGATCTGGAGGTATAGTGGTATTGCAGTGAGAGTCTGCCACACTCTCCAAACACCATGCTATTGTTGTTATACTTGCTGACTTTGAGGAAAGTCTTACAGAACTTAAAATGTACAGTTTCAATATGTCTGCAATAAGTGGTTCCTCAAATCTCTGATCCATAACACAGAATAGGTGTAATCATGGAATCAAATATCTTAAAAATTTCCTTGTGATTCATACATCCAAAATGTTTCTGGTAATTATAGATGGAGAATATAGCTTTACTTGCTTGAGCAGGATTGGGCTTTAGTTCATGACAGTTTAGGAGTGAACACAATCCCAAGATATCTGTACATATTCACAACTTCTATTTGTTCAGCATTTAAAAAACATTTCTCATAAGAACGGAGAGGACCACCAATTCTAAAAACAATAATTTTGGTTTTGTACAGATTGACTTTCATTCCTGTATCTGCACATAATTCTTCAACAATATTAATTTATTTTGGAGCTGTAAAGCAGTGTCTGATACAGTTGATACATCATCAGCAAATAATAGCGAAAATACATCAGGAATATGAGTTGATATGAATACACCTCTTCCACCATCTTCCTCCAGCATTTGAGCAAGTTTGTTTATGAATATAATAAAAATCTGCGGACTCAGAGTGCATCCTTGGCGGGTACCTATATTACATTTGAAATAGGGTGATAACCCCGAATCAGTTCTTACACAAGCGCACAGTGTAGAATACATGTTGATAATAAATGTTAGAAATTTTCCCTTTACCCCCTTTTCTATCAAACTCATGAAAAGTAATTTATGGTTAATAGAGTCAAATGCCTTGGAAAAGTCAATAAAAAGGCAATAGAACCTTCCATTTTTCTTTGACAGATATTTAGTGACCACAGCTTGCAGGGTGAAAATATGGTCTGATGTTGAATAATCCTATCTGAATCCAGCTGTGCCTCTGAAATTGTATCATTATTGTCACACCATTGTTTCAGTCTATTATCAGCTATTGAGGCTAGAATCTTGCATAAGGAGTTGATCAATGAAATTCCTCTATAGTTATTTGGATCTGCTTTATCACCAGATTTATGCAAAGGGCATATGATGCTTTCCCCCCAACATTTTTGAAAACTGAACTATCATACAATTTGTTAAAGAGTTTAGTTAATATAGGTCATATGCAATTCTTAGAAGCTTTAAAGAAGTCTGCGACTAATCCATCCGGTCCTGGTGATTTATTATTTTTAATATTTTTCAAGCTTAGAAATACCTCCTCTTCCGAAAAAGGTTCATTTAATACAGCTAAATGTTCATCCTCTATATCAGTGTCGGTATCCACTTTGCTCCACACATCTTCAATATTATCATCAAAGGAAACACAGTTTAAAAGTTCATTATAAATGCTTAAACCATTGATCTACAGATATGCCCGGAGTAGCTGAAAGATTCATGTTACATGATTTTAACACTTTCCAAAATTGTTTTGGATCATTCCTTGATTCACTGAGTCTATTTCTTTGACTTTGAAAATAATATTCTTTCTTTAAGTGAAATGTGAGTTTAAAATGCCTTTTGTAATATATGTAGGTATCAATACGGGTGCCAGTCAAATCGCCCCAGCGACAAAACGCCCCAGCAAATTTGGTCAAAATGCCCCAAATTTTTGGTCAAATCGCCCCAGGTTTGGTCAAATCGCCCCACGGGGGTAGTCAAAATGCCCCAATTTAATTAAAATGGTTTAACATACGCCATAAATGCATAGTTTTTGTTGACTTCCATATTATATTCTTTGCATAATATTATGTGTTATATTATTAGTAATATTCATGTATAGGCACCACTGTAATACCAATTATTTGGTAAAGAATTACAAGAATAAAACAAAAGGTTTGTATAATATGTTTATTGTAAATGCTGTAAATGCATAGTTTTTTGTCAACAAATGGCACTGTGTAATCATAACAAGTTTGGTATAATACTTATAAAACAATCTCGAGCTTTGTCCACTGGGATATTATAATCCTCATACAGATGTTCCTCATACAGAAGTTATATGTCTTTCTTTTCTTTTTAACTTTCGTCTGTATGGCGGGCTGGTCCATGAATGCGGCTCACTTTTGACAAGAGCTGCTGGACTGTAATTTGGTCCTCCTTGAACTCTGCCCACAGAGCAAAGGTCTCCTTCTGGGCTGTGGTTGATCAGTCCCTGATTCTTGCTCTCAATTTGCTCTCCTTCAGCAGGAGGATCTTGATTTGGAGCAGGGACGCCTCCCGATGTAGGGCTTTGATAAGTCGGTATAGTCCCAGCTGTTGCTCCCCGACTTTTCCATTTAGGCGCCGGTGCCAACCTGAAAACATAAAGGGAAATTTTAAAAGAAATGTTGTCATGCTCAGCATAATTAACTCACATTAAATTCGTCAATATTTCTAAATTAAACATAACTTAAATAGCTGAAAGAAATAATGTTTAAAATATATTTACCTTTGGTGTGATTGTTTGTTCTTGTTGTCTGTCGGAAGCAAGATAGGCCTGAAGGGGGACAGGTTCTCTTGTAGATCCATTGGGTCCTCATGTAACCCACAAGCTCACAAAGCTTGCTGGTGGGGGTGACGGTTTCAGTCAGCTCTTCAAACGTCTGACGGATCTCTGAAGCTGGGATGAAGGGCAAGGCCATCAGTTTCCAAATAAATCGAAAAACTGGATTCTTTTCTCTGTATGCCACCTGTAACAAGAAACCTTCATTTGTTAAGATTTCACATATATACTGAACATCATTGAAAACGCACCAGTCTAAAATTGTCCATATTTTCATCAAAATGGATTTCAGCATGACAATGATCAATGAATATAACTAACATGAAGTCGAAGGGCATGTCCAGTGGAAAACAATACTTGAGAAACAAATTCCTTACGTTGGACCACAGTATGACTCTTAATGCCAAAATACATCAACATGCAGCCGCGCCATGAAAAGCGCGAATTTCATTCTGAAATCATACTGACTGTGACATTAAAAGCAGGTGTATGAGAACCGATTCCCATTGCTTCACTAACGATTGTGAAACGAGGGACAGAGATGCCGAGGTTAACACCTCACGAAGGAGAACGTGCACTAGGCATGATTCAGGTTGGCACCAGGAGCAGGGATATTGCTCGACAACTTGGACTTGGCCACTCCACCATCGTTAGGCTTCATAGACGACATCAGTAGATAGGCAGCATCCGTGACTTTCAATGACCTTGGCAACAACGTGTTACGATGCTCCATCAGGATCGCCATATTGACCTTGTCCATATCAGTGATTGAACACTGCCGACTGCCAGGACTGCTGCGCTAGTTCAAGGTTGACGTGGGGGTCATCAGCGCTGACTCCATGCGACGCCGTCTACACACTACTGGGCTCCATGCTCGACGTCCTTACGTTGGACCAATTCTGACTGACAGACACCGTAATGAGCGTATACAGTGGGCTAGCAGGCATGTTCAGAAAGGTTACAACAATGGCATGGTGTGGTAGTCACTGACGAGTCACGTCTACATCAACGTAATGCTGACGGCCGATTATGTGTTTGGTATAGACGTTATGCTGATGAGTGTGTGGTTCAGACAGACCTTTGGGTGATGGGAGTGTCATGGTCTGGGGTGGAATATATTACAATCACAGGACTGCCTTCATGTCTGACAATAGAGAGTTAATGCCCTTTATTACCGTGAGCAGATTCTTCAGAATCACATTGTATCTGTCTTCAATCACCACCAAGATGTCCATACTTTTCAACAGGACAACGCACGTCACCACACTCGGTAAGCAACAAAGACATGATCAAAACTAGTCTCAAAGTCATCGAAACATACTTTTTTCCGATTGATATGCCATGCACAATCGATCTTGGCTTGGGCAGGGTTGACAGAAGGTCCCTATTTTCAGAATGTGTATATATGCATAAGCGGCGTATAACCAAACTCAGTCTGTGTGTGATAAAAAGAAGGTCAATATTTCACAGCAATACATATTATATATCCAGTTAAATGTGATACAGAGTCAATGTAGTAGGACATTAGAGTTCTGGCACCAGCTGTTAATTCTCTCATGTACCTATCCAAGACATGGTTCACTTCAACATATCTTCACTTCTCAGTTGGCGGTCTGGCATCGTTTCTTAGCTTCGGTTCTGAAATGGTTCCACATTTCGCGGCACATGTATTGTGTATAACAAAAGCATGTATTGTGTATAACATGGTGAAGATGGATGTCACAAAGCCATCTTTAGTGTTGATTGTTGATCGACAGTCTTTCTTACAGCACTTCCAACGGATGCAAGTATTTCGCCTGGTGTTGATACTGAACTTACAGCCCCTGCAATTTACAGACCAAGTACTGACTGCCGCGTCCATTTGGAATGAAAGGAGTGTTTACGTTTGCCATAGTACAATGGAGAAACAAGGAAATAGTCATACTTTATAATACTTGTCGTTGGCATAGTTCACTCAATTAAAATTCAATTTGTAGCAAATGTTATGAATATAGTTCATCCAGATCAAATATAATTGTTGACAAGTGGTATGGTTATCAGTTTATCTTGTGAAATATGTTCACCGGTGGTGATGAGATTGCTCTGATTGTCCCTGATTGGAGTGCTGGGTGAAGTTATGTCACAGCCAAAAGCAGGGGTAACAAATTCACCCTGCACATTCACTGACCCGTAACTGTTAATCTCTTTTAATCCCCCCAGTAAATTGGGAAAGTGGGAATGAGCCGAAGAATGTGTAATACCTATATCTACCGGTAGGGAACTTGTACAATATTCACAATAACCAGAGGGCAATATGCGTAATACGAAACAAAAAATTCAGAGTATTGACACCCTCATACGAAGAACCATGTCAGACAATTTAGCCCGCCACCTCGCCCTTCCCCTAATCGTTTATAGGCTTTTCATGACAGAATTGTATTGTGCACCTTTGCACATGTCTAAAGCGGCCTTCACACGGCAAACTAAAGTTTGACAATACATGTTGCTGAAATTTTAAAAGTTGTCAAACTCGCGTTATCACACGTCAAACAACTGTTGTTTCGTTGACTGCGATTGGTTGTTTCTGAACAACAGGAGTTTGACAACACTCCAGACGTCAAACTCGAGTTTGACAACACGGAAAGTTTGATGGAAAAGTTGTTGAGAATAGAGACCGATCCTATTTCTCGACATCAGTTTGACAACTCTGATATTGGTGCTGATGGCAAGTTGTTGAAATGGTCACACTCTCAAACTCTAGTTTGACAACATGTGTTGTCGTGTGAAGGCCGCTTAACATTCTGATGATTGATTTTTTTTATGAAGCATGTGAAATCTCATTACGAAAACATGTCATCCCTCGAGCCAAGGACAGGGGACATACAAGCAATGACAGTGTTGATTTTGTTTATGGTTCTGCACTGCTGGACGGTACAGAAATGTGTGTCAACCGAGTGAAGTGCCATATCAATTCGGCTCAGGTTTTCAAGGGAAGTTTTCCAGGGCCCGGTTGTTCAATACTCGGTTATCTTAACCGCCGGTTAACTCCTAACCGATCGTTAGGTAACCGAACGTTAAATATGCGTTGTTCAAACATGGTTAGTCATGCCGTTAGCTAACGTCGCCGTCAAAGTTTAATAGTGTGGTTAACGTCACTGGTTAGCTTTCATAGGAAAAAGAGAAGTCGAAATTTCTCTGCTGACGATGAGAATGTAATCCAGTCAATGGTTGAGACCAACTCTATAGTTTATCATAGGCATGCGAATGTCGTAGCTCTATGAACGCTTGTATTGGAACACAAGGTTCCAGACGTTTGCATATTTATTTCAAAAGACATATGATCCCAGCTCTGTTTGGGACTTACTTCAATTCCGACAACAGAAAAGACATTTTAATGAGAAACTATAGCACAGCTATAGATAAAATATGATGAATCCATGAAAATACATGTAATATTAATAGTAGAAGCATGTTTTTTTGGATAGAATATTTACAAATATTACACACAGGAGTTACGCTTAGACGGCTACAGTCGTAATGAATCTTTGAATTCCCACAAGACCTATCGCTCACTTTTCACTCCTTAAGTTGTCATGACTGTATGGCCAAGTCATTAAGATGCTATCAATATCATTTTTTGCCAAGTCTGTCAACAATTGTAATGTATGAACACACATTGCCAAATCTTTTAACATCAAACAATGTAGATGTTGTGACAATAATACCATTAGCTTTTTATCTGAAATATGCATTCAATGCCAATAGAAACGTAATATGTTACTAGCACCTCGTGAAAGTAATCAAACTGTAATTGTACTATAGGCCCCAGGGCCAACACTGCTGAATAAAATCGATCTATTATTCGACCTTACTGTTGACAGGAATCTCATGAATAAAACTGTGCAATATCGTCATTATCTGAACGCCTTCACAGACGCATATTCCGGAAAGATGTCTTGAAAAACATGAAGCTGCGTCTAATTTATAGATGAACATAATTTCCTCGATACTCATTGATCAGATGAACCTCCATTTAGTTCAATTCACAAGTGACTATAGAAAATGCATAGATAGTTCTTTTCAATAACTTCAAGGACGGAAAACATGTATTATTTTTCATAAGAGTATTATAGAACGCTGCAAGGATTCGGCAGAGAAATACTATTGTGCCATTGTATTCCTTATATAAAATATATCAGTGTATAACATTAGCATTCAGATATTGTTATAAAATAAGTTTAAAATTCCAACCATTATCGTGTAAAATGACAAGAGATAGTGTTGTGTTCGCTGTGACAAAAAAAGTTTTCGATATTCAAATATAACATTAATCAAAGTGACTACGAAGTAGGCCTGCATATATCACTCACAACTCACAACGTTTCGCGAAGGCCGGTATTGAGACGCCAATTACATCACATATATTTCATATTCAGCGGCGACAAATGCATCACTGAATTCTAAGGCTGGGACGGGTACTACGGTACTCGAATCCGGGTCGGGTACAGCTGGAATCGAGTCCTATTTCTAGGAATCGAGTGCCCGGAAAGGGAGAGAGCTCTGTAATGGCAAGGGCAGACAATAGCTTGTCTTTTTAGTTTTTGACGTAACACACATTTACATCATTGAGTGAGTGAGTGAGTGAGTTTAGTTTTACGCACTCAGCAATATTCCAGCTATATGGCGGCGGTCTGTAAATAATCGAGTCAGGACGAGACAATCCAGTGATCAACAACATGAGCATCGATGTGTGCAATTGGGATACGATGACATGTGTCAACCAAGTCAGCGAGTCTGACCACCCGATCCCGTTAGTCGCCTCTTACGACAAGCATGGGTTACTGAAGATCAATATTCTAACCCGGAAATTCACGGGTTTTTACATCATTGGTATTGTCCGATTAATGGAGCATAGTTTTAATGTAATTTATCTGTGCATGTGCAGTGAGTAGTTAAGTTACAGTAGCAGCTGGAACGAAACGTTCGTTGTTATAACGAGGAATGTAAGTAATGGTGTTACTCTCTATATTGGTTAAACAGACGTAAATTAAATAGCTTAAGGTCAGTTTTAATGTCTTATTACCACTTTTCAAGTTTTCTATAATAGTCTCTGTCAAATCGTGATTGAATATTCAGAGGTTGACCCGAATGTATTTCTTACATTTCCGGGTACTCGATTCCGATTCGGGGAAGTACATGCGGGTACTCGATTCCATTTTTTCCTACACGTCCCAGCAATACTGAATTCCTCATACATTTTAGAATCTAATTACAACTGGTCTTTGTCACCAATACCAAGTGTCTAGATAAACTGAAACGAAAGATATTGGGTGTGGAAACAAATGCTGTGCTCGAAAGACAACACCTGTTTGAAATGTAAACAAAGAAAATTTCAGACTTTATACTGTGAAGCATTTTCTCAATTTTCAGACACCCATTTGCATGGAAAGAGCATAGTAGCAAGAAATTGCAAATTAAAAATAGATACAATACAGGAATTTGATATGTTTATACGAAACTGTCAAGTTTCTGTGCAGCGTGACGCCATGACTGACGCAAAATCACGCAGAACGACAACGGTAATAATCGGCATTTCTGGCCGCTTCTTCTCTTTCTTAAAATGAAAACGATAAAACATGTAACAATACGCAGATAGTCAGAATCATTCTGATTACTTACATCTCAGATTTATGTACAAACGATCCCTGAATCAAGGGAAGGGTCCTCGCAAAACCCATGTCAGCCGCCATTTTTTAAGAAATCTCAACGGTAGTGATGTCATACGTCAACATTGTTGTACATATTTGGCAATTTCTCTGAGGTGAAGGTCGGTAGAATAAGAGTATACACAATCACCATATCCCGCCGATTACACTTTCGGTATCATCATTCGGATATTTTTTCATGAAGCTAATTTAATTATCTACATTTAGCCTTGTTCAATATCACATCATACGTGGGTATGGGGTGTACATGTTTGATTCTTTGAAAGTGTTTGTTTGAATAATATTTACAGAAGAAATTCACACATTTAGTGTAGTAAAACACATATAAACCTTTACACAAGTGTTAAAAGATGAAACGTAGGCATGATGTTCTTGTACAACATGTATTTTAGTTCCTATGAAGTGCATAATTACAGTTTCGTATGTAACTCTTCGTCAGAATAATTTCCAGTATCGAAGTCCAGTCCACGATACACCCTATCCTTTCTTTGCTGAACTGACCTCATGAAAGCAGTGTTAGCCATGAACGCCATTTGCGGTCCTTAGGTGTGTTAACTTAACGTCACGTTAACAACCTGTTTAAAGTTAACAGAGTTTTGAACAACAAGATAACCCTGTTATTAGTTAACAGTCTTTTAAATGTACTTAACGGCTGGTTAAATGATAACCGAGTTTTGAACAACCAGGCCCAGAAGGACAACTGCACTGCACCATTGTTTACGTGCAGTGTGTTGAGAAGATGAACAACCAAGTTGAGTCCTACACTGGATGACTGAGTTTAGCAATATTCTAGCAACATCACGGCGGGGAACACCAGCAATGGGCTTCGCATGTTGTACCCACATGGGGAATGGAACCCAGGTCTTCGGCGTGACAAACCAACACTTTCACCACAAGGCTACCCCACCGCCCTTTCACCGGATGAAGTCGACTGGCCTAAATTGTGAAACAGCAGGCTTTGTGTTTGCTGCCCCTTTTCTCGAACATACAACAAACAAACACATGCTACGAATATTGTCGGAATCGACTTTCGGTTAAGCAGATATTTCTTTTGGATGTGGAAAGGGTTTTACTTACCAACTAGGGTTACAGTAGCTTTGATATTAGAACAACTCTCCACCCAAAGTCCATACATGTATATGACAGTGTACAACTTGCTCTTGAGTAGCAGACTCAAGTCAGTCCTTCCCAGTTCACTTGCCTGTTGTCAACCAAGGCCAACTGTAATCCCTAGGAAGGCCCACCATACTCACCCAAGATAAAGGGCACACTCTCCACTGTTCTCAAATCAATCATTACACTTAAATAGTCAGGGGGCGTAGCTACCATTATGAAAAAAAAGCCCGGGCTTACACATGATATTTGCTAAAAAGGTTGGACAAGCCTTCAATGCTATCTAAATATAAGCTTTGAAACATGTCGGGCTTACACGAAATATATTGGCTTGCTACGCGCCTGATAGTTTACTACCAGTTCAGCCTTGGCATGCACTTCTAAAGGTTTCACATGTTCAGTTGAACTTGTTTTTTTCTGTTTTTTGTTTCCTCTCTCACAGTTAGGTAAAGAGTCGCTGTGATTCCATTCTTGTGTTTTGTCTCATCGCTATAATCATAGTAAGGTGATGCCAAACGTCGACGCATGGAAATCTTGAGACGAGTCTTTAGAATTGTGTATATCTGCATGCTCCTGGCCATTCTACTTGATAACAGCTGGTAGGGTCTCATGGCGCCCTGTAACCTTCCCATTACTGGGAATCATATGAGGCTTTCTGTTTGCTGCCCAGGACCAGTCATTTCCTAATCGTAACCCTCAAGGTGTGATTTTGCTTCAAAATGAAAATATGAAATGTAGTTTATGTAATTAGTTTAATGACAATGTACAACACCTTGTCACTGAGTGACCCCTGTTGACACAAACACAAAATCTTAAACAACATGATGGCGTCGCCAAAATATGTAGAAGGCTTCATGGAAGTATCTGAAATAGACCATATACCATAAGTTCCTGATTTTCCTTTCAGGTGAACAACTGAATATTAATCAGTTAATATTGGATATTCATATAGCGCACATATCCACGCACTAGTGCATACTCAACGCGATGGTACTTTTTCCCTCTATCATGGGATATCAATCTCAACGGCACATCTTATTATCAATCTCAGCTCCCTGGGGATCAGACAACTCTTGCTGCCACACATGTTTGCACATGTTTATGAGGGTACCACCGGTGGGGCAGGACACGCTCACCAACACATAACAGACAAAAAGAAGCCACTGCCACCCTTGTGCGGACACTGATTTTATCCCGCCTGGATTACTGCGACAGTTTACTGTTTGGCATCTCTTCCTCTCAACTCCATCGTCTTCAGAAAATCCAGAACAAAGCTGCACGCATCATCACTCTCACCAGTACTCGCTGTCACATCTCTCCCATTCTAAACTCTCTACACTGGCTCCGTATTCGTGAAAGGATTGATTTCAAGATTCTCTGCCTCACCTATCAGCCTTTCTACAACTCAGGACCTTCCTACCTTCAAGACCTTCTGACACATTACTCTCCAGAAAGAACTCTGCGCTCATCACAACAACTGTTACTTGCTGTCCCGAGCTACAATCTCAAATCATTTGGCTCAAGGACCTTTTCATATGCAGCAGCTTCTCTGTGGAACTCTCTCCCTATCGAGTTAAAATCATCTCCTTCCCTAAGTACATTCAAAACACGACTAAAGACTCATCTATTTCTTCGCTACAAGTGACTTCCAATCATCCGTACCTGCCAACTGTATATAGTTTTAACTTGAGCTCAGGAAGGGCTTTGAGCATATCCCTGTGACGTGGAAAGGCGCTATATAAATGGCCTATTATTATTATTATTACAAGCAAACAATGAGGGATACCGGTTCTGAGAAAACATTGCAATACGTATCGTTTGAAAGGCGTATTTTGATATACCGGTATACCGTGTAGTCCTAGAATCCATACATTTGCGTATATCTTCATGATATATTCATTATATGCCTCTTGGCCATTCTGTTTGCGAACATATTAGCGCATGAATAACAACGTCTTTACCAAACATCTATACCGAGACGTGACGATCTGATGAACCTGTCATCCATAAAGTACCGTGCCTCTGTTGACACTTACCAAACTCCAAACCATCAAACAAATAATAAATATGTTAAATTGGATTTCATAAAAGCAAGAAAGGAGAGAATGCTATAATTGGACAATGTACATTCTCCACATAACGCAAACATACATATGTAAAATGTTTATGTCATGTTTACGCACTACCTGGTACCGCCCCATGTATTTCAATCCCCGTCGAAATTCTGGAATAGAATTAATGTCCATCACTTTGTTGCAGGCAACGACTTAATGGATCCTGTTGTTGTGCTCGGTTATATGGTACATTGTCCGTCATCGTACTGGACATTTCATATAGCAAATTAACGCGACGACATTTGGTCCTGTTTTCTGAGTCGTGTGCCCAGTACCCAATGATTTCTATAGAAAAATAATATTAGCCTACCAACAGTCATTAAATTGGCCACTGAAGAACTTGCTTACTCATGGTCGTCATACACATTTTTATGAAAGAATCAAGTATCATGCTACGCCTGACAAGTTTCGCTCTCGCCGTTCAATGAACACCTGTGACATTATGGGACGCGCCAGAAAGAAACATGTTGCAGTTACGCACCTACAATTATATATATTTAACTACTTTTATAAGCATGGTAATTTTGAACGTGTGTTATTTAGATGTCCTGATGTCAAAAGCCCTGCGAACGGTAATCAAGGAATGTGAATACTTTTTTCTAAATCTAGTAGCCATGTAAAATGCATCATATCTGCCCAAATGACAACAGTCTGATGTATTGTTTGTTTCTTTTCAGCCTCTTTAAGCGATCGGCGATTAACTGTGAGAAAGGCCTTGGAGAATTGAAATCCCGCATCCACACTGTGGCTACCAAGGAGATCAGGTTTTAAAAAATTACACATAATCCTGAAGAGTGAAATATTGATAAGGTACAAGGTGCTCCAACTACGTGGATGTAAATCATCAAAAGCGAAATAACTGAAAAATGGCTACCTTCCCTCCTGTCACAAAACTAACTGCTGCTGTGTTAGGTTTAACAGTCGGGTTTTCGTTGGCGTCCATTTGTGTAATACTCTTTAAAACGGAACATTCCGGCGTTCGTTTCGCCTCGTCTATTGTGAACACTGTACATCAACAACCTGTTCATTCAAGGGAGATGCAAACTCTATCGAAGGCCTACCATGAAGAATTTCAGAAGTCTTTGGGACAATACTTGTCTGGAAATATCAAATTTGAGGACCTGCATCTCCATAAAGGTTAGTTCCAATCTGATATTGAATTATTCCACCCTAATCAGTGAGAAGGTTTCACAACTGTGAACAGTATTTCAGGCACACCAAGGTGTGTCATTTCTAAGCATGGAATGAAACCCTGAGATAACGTAGGTTACGTATGTTTATGTCTGTTTGAAATTCATGAAGACGAAGCAAAGATCTTATTAGGAATTCCAGTTAACGATCAGCGGATCCTGTTTAGTCAAAAGGAAGCAACTCCATGTGTAAAGTGAACAATGGTACGTTATACCATTGTGAACCCTTCGTGTTTCACTGTGCAACTGAAGCATGTACACATATATATATTTACAGATGTGTGTGATTCTCGGGTGAGTGAGTGAAACATGTAACTACTCATGGAAAATGTATTTCAGTTATATCATGGCGTGTAAACTTTATGTGACAGGAACGTCATCAGTATTGCAGGTCATGGACATGTAGTGCAGCACGTAGCGAGTGGACGATTGAATGTATGTTTCGTATGGCACAGAGCAATATTAGGGAATGCCACAGCAGCGTGTATTCGTCATGACCAGGCAACTGTGTTTTAGAAATATGTCATGGTGTTATGCCATTTTCAAATGACGACAGATAATAAGCAAAGTGATCTATTCCGTGCTGGTTTAAGAGATAACACAAGTTGTTCTTGTGGAAATGTTTGTGAAAATTCTTATCATTACCTATTTGACTGTCAATTATATACAGTACAGAGAACTACCATGATGACTAATTTACGCAGCATTACAAATGTGGATATAACCTATGAGTTACTATTGCATGGCAATGCAGATCTGACTGTTCACATAAATCAAAACATATTTAAAATTGTTCAAACATATATTTGTCATTCAAAACGATTTTCTTAATTGTTGCAATTGTTCCTATTTTTCCCATATTTCTGTTCTGTTCTTCTCTGTCCATCTTGTAGAATGAATGTAAATAATACTATGTAAATACTACGGAGAGGGTGTTCTAAGTTGTATAACTTGTACCCAATCCTTTTCTCATGAATAAAATATGTTTAAAACAAGCAAAGTCACCGTCTGTTGACCCTGATACAAAGTAGACACATCTTGGGATTCTTTGGAGTTACTTTTACTCGGTATCCTACCCGGAAACGATGAAGTAACACAGTGTTAACGTTGTTTACGTCGCTCTGAACAATATTTCGGCAATGCCATGGCGCCTAAGATGGACAAAGTAATGATAAATTACAGGGGACGAGGTGACTGACATGCCTAGAAACGTAATCGGGGATGTCAATATTTGTATTTTACAAGAAGAAAAGAAAATTGGAGAAAGAAATGAAAACCCTTGGAAAATATATTTAAGTGTAATACTTGCTGTTTGTTTTATCAATGTTCTTCTGCTGAAGTATGCTATTTGCTCTAGACATGTTTATCGATAGTGTAAGGATATTTTGAAGTAGAATTGAACTTACCTTACTCCGGCGCAGTGACGACTCAGCATAACATCACTTGGACAGGCTCATTTGCATATCACGAGATCGAACTTTAAATTCATTCTTGTTTGTACACAAACGCGCTTATTCTGAAATCAGTACAAACTGGCCTAATGCAAGTCTTTCGCTAAATGTCTACACATTGTTTTGTGTAATAGCAAAGACATGCAACTACAACTGTGACAGTGAACTGCATGGCAAAGTAATATACATATCAAAATGACCGTATCGCCCGGTCTCCTTTGGGACTCCGATGACTGCTCATTGAGCGATAAAACCAACGTTAACAAAGAATTACTACGCTAATTGAAATAGTACTTCACGTTTTAGGATATTTTCTCTTTGAAAGTTGGGCAGTGGGGTAGCCTAGTAGTTAAAGCGTTCGCTCGTCACGCCGAAGACCCCGGTTCGACTCCCCACATAGGTACACTGTGTGAAGCCCATTTCTGGTGTCCCCCGCCGTGATATTGCTGGAATATTGATAAATTCTAAAAACTAAAATCACTCACTCACTCTCTGTGAAAGTTGACCATTCTGTCACATCTCCTCTTTCTGCATGCCCCAGCACCACTTACCCACAACCCTTACTCAACCGCCCGCCCCGCAAAACCAGCC